CAGCTCCACCCGCTGTCCCTCCGGGCCGGTGGCCGCCGCCTCTTCCCGAGAAGGTCTTGAATCATTTCAGCCCTCTCTCGGCTTTGTGCAGCCCTCCCCCTTGCGCCGTAGCAGCTTGCTAGGGGTGCGGGCGGAGCAATGGAGGGAATGGCTGCGTTGCCGCTGGGGAAGGGATTTTTCCCCGATCCGAGCAGCTAACAGTGCGGGGCCTTATTGTTAGGTTGGTTGGGGATGTGGGGCGGTTTGGAGGAGGTGAGGTCAGGCGCCCTCTGGACGCGGTTGGAGGGCGTGGAAGACGTGGTGTCACGCACCCTGCCAGGCGACTGCACCCGCGCTGGCTCTGGCTCGGTAGTAAACCCGGGGGAGGAGACAGCGGCTTCCTGTCGGCTTCATTGTCCTAAGATTCAAATGCAGGGTTTTGGTATGCTTCCCTTCGTTTTATGCCTGACACAGGGCGGGAAGACGTGGGATTCGTGTCCTAAGTTATGGAATTTCTGGGGTTTTTTTTGGGGGGGGGGTCGTGTTTAGTAGGGCTTGGGGGATTTATTTGAAGAATGTAAGCCCCTGGAAGACAGGGACGGTGTCTGTCCAAGCATTGCCAAGGTGATCATCGATAGGAAATTACTAGATGGCGATGAAGACTGGACTTAGAAAGAGCCCGACGGCGAGGCTGTTGTGTAGCAGGGAAATGAACCAGCAGAATTGTTTTTTCATTGGGTGGGTAACGCGTTCGCGTTCCTAAGGGAGTAGATGAGGCCACATCTTTCAGTTTTGTTTTTTGAGCAGTCAAAACAAAAAAACAGGCCCAGTACATTTCTGTTTCTGATTTTGTTTATTCATACTTCCATTCTCTTAATGAAAATTAACTCATTTGGGAGAAATGTGGTGGGGCAGATGATCGTTGATTCAAAATGCATCTTTTAAAATGATTTCATCTTAAGCTTTCAGTGCTTCCAACCGTTTGCTGGCGTTAAAACAAGCGGAAGAAAGAATGAAGCAGGATGGGGAGGAGCAGGTGGAGGGATAATGGGAGAGGAGAGAGTTACATTGTGAATACTGTATCTAGATCTTCACTGATACAATCCTAGCTGGATAGGCTTCAAAAATTTAGTAATTCAGTTCTGGAAATACTACATTGCAAGGTACAAATAATTTTGTATTTTTTCTACCATTATTTTTTTTTTAAGATTTTATTTATTTATTTGAGAGAGAGAGACAGCAAGAGAGGGAACACAAGCAGGGGGAGTGGGAGAGGGAGAAGCAGGCTTCCCGCCCAGCAGGGAGCCCGACGTGGGGCTGGATCCCAGGACCCTGGGACCATGACCTGAAGGCAGACGCTTAACTGACTGAGCTAACCCGTGCCCCTTTCTACCATTATTTTTAAAAAAGTAAAACCCAAGGCTGTTTTTCGTCCTTCCTCACTTTGTAGATATCATAGGATTTTGGTGTTTTAAAACTCAAGAATCTAAGTGCACTTGACATAAGAGGAAGATAATGAAACTTGGAAAGTTAACTGAATTGTCTGTCCAAGTGTCACTGCTAATGAAAGGCAGAGCCAAATAAAACCAAGATCTGTTCCTGCAGTGGGCTCTTTTGGTGTTGTCCCTTAGTCCCCCTGCCTGTGAAAATTTATGGAAAGCTTCTCTACATGCTCCTTGAGTTGTCTTTAACAATCAAGTTCATTGATACTCTTGTTTTATTAATCTAGTCCTTTTCCTTGTGATGCAAAAATAATTCTACTGAAGTGGAGCTTTAGTTTTATAAATTACCTTACAATATAAGGAAAGATGCTCTAACATGGGCTTTTCATAAAAAACAACAACAACAAAAAAACCTCTTGGAAGTTTTTCCCTGCTACTTATTAGTAACCATATTTTAATATTATTTCCTGATACTCAGTAGTATTTTATGGTATGATGAGCTATAAGCTTTAAGCTCGGTTAAAAATAAAATTGCCATGTAACAAGAATGTGGAGAAGAATGTCTCCATTTTATATTTAATTCTGTAATTATGGCCTGAATGTAGTGTAGTGAAATTATCCCTTTCTTAATTCAATGTGAAGTTCATTTTTCTTCAATTAATGAATTACATTATTTTCAACTTAACTCACCTTGAGAAAAATATCGAAATTTTTATCAAAATTAAATGTATGTTTTTTCATTGAGTTGCTTTTGACAAAGTGCTATTTTTTCTTTATAATCTTACCCTTTAATTCTACAATGCATTTTAACAGACTTTTTTAAAAGAATTTATTAACTTGCCCTTTTAAATTTTAGCTTACTTAGAGATAATCTAGTTAAATTCAGCATGTGGAATTATATTAAATCAAACTTTAAATGTATTTTATTGGTAAATTTCATTGTTCTCAATTACTTTGTTTGGAAATAACCATCTTCATGTTTTCTATCTTAGCATTAGAATAATGAAATTTAGACTGTAAAATTATCATACATTATGCCCATTAATGCAAATAGCAGTGTTTTTAAAAATTCTATGCTTAGTGATTTGTTTTACTTATTCCTAGTATCAGGTTTTTTTTTTATCACGGAAGAAATAACTAGTTTTATTGTTGCATCTGATAGTAATCATATATCACTCATCTAGTACTGAATACTGCCTGTGTTTAAACTTGTTAACGTTTTTTATTCAACAAAATTATACTCCCGTAAAATAATTTTTAGTATTTTAATTTGTAATGATTGATTTTGAGCAGTGTCCTAGTCTAATAAATATCTAACAGACAGCAATGTACTAAATTGCCAACTAATCTGTACAGTTGCAAATTATTATGGAAGTATAACAAAAGAGCAATTAGATACCATCTGAAAAATCCTTGGTGGTTATATAATAGGGAGGAGAACGTTGAGTGTTGCTGTATTTCAGTAAGAAATGAACTTCTTCTTATGGGGAGAAACCTCAGACCATCTTTATTTCATTAATTTTTGTTAATACCCAAGATTTCCAATAATCAACTACACTTGGTGAAATGGGATTTAGTTTATTTACTTAAATATTTTTTGAGGGAAGTGCTCAGCAATGAGTTAGCTGGTGTGGGCAATACAAAAGAATAAGACATCTGTCTGGTAGTAGAGTTGATTAAACTAGACATACAGTTTAGTTAAACTAGACTGTATGTCTAGTTTAATTGAATGATTATGCAACAGTATATCTATATTATACCTTTTTTTTGGCCAAAATGAATGACCTGGTCAATATATACTGAAGGTAAAGCCCTCTTTTATGTCAAACAAAGGTAGAAAGGAAACGAACAAAAGCAAGGTTAAAGAAAACCTTACAAAACTTACATACAGATAGGGATTATACAAAACATGGAAGTAGAAAGAATCTCAAGTATGCATTGCTTAGGTTTGAGAAACAATATGAGACATAGCAGAGAATAAGTCATTATTTGAGTATATTAATAAGCAGTAAGTAATATAGAACATATTACCCTTTAGGACATGATATTTATTGAATAAATAACTAATATCTACCACGTATTGAAACCTATGTATCAGGCAGTGTGTGTGTGTGTGTGTGTGTGTGTGTGTTTGTGTGTAATTCATGCAACAGTCTTGTATATAAGGTATAAATTTACACACTTAAATTTGAGAATATTTGAAGCCTAGAGTTAGTGAATAATTTTGCCTCTGTGTCATGGCTCTAAGTGGTAGAGCCTATAACTGAACCTTTGTCTTTTTGACAAAGGCCCAGATTCTTTCCATTCATCCTTTTTGGTAAATTAAGAAAGCAAACTGTACCCTTTTCTGATTCACAAAATTTTAGAATTACAGGAAACTTTAGAGTCATCTGGTATAGTGTGCCTTCTACTACTCATATCCCTGAGATCTTACTGAGTCCAACTTCTCCAAGAACAACACTTTCATGAACAAAGAGGCATAGGATGTCTCATTTAGCTTTTGGAAAGTATAATAGGAAGATTTTAATTAAATGGGGCTGGTATCTGCTTTACTATATA